GGCACCACCAGCCGGAGCTTCTGCTTGGCCACAGGCTGGATGTTGTGCCTCCTCCCTGCTGGAAGACAGCACACGAAGCTGACCCTGTGAGACAAGGAGAAAGGAAACTTCAAAGTGCACCAAGTTCAAGACCACAGCTTTGCCCAACAAGCCCAGGGCCACTGTTCTGCTCCCTGGACCAGGTTCTGCTGGGTGGTATGACCCTGGTGGCACAGAGCCTTAGAGGAGGCCTCAGCTCACTGACCGTATGCTTCTGTCGCTCACTCGACGCAGGGGGGCCTGTGCACCTCACTGTTTCACTGGGCCCTGTAATCGCTGCACTCTGTTCTCTTTGGATTGGTGGCCTCAATTGTCACTAGCGGTGGGAACAGTACAAAGTCCTGAGAATGCATGTGGCCTCTCCACCTGGCCCTGTGTGGGCACAGCTGTTATGCTGTCCTATGAGAGTGAAGACTTTGTTCTGTGTGTCATTTCATGGTGTGGCATGGAGGCCCCATTGTATAAGACACTAGTGCTTCATGCAGAGCCTATTTCCTTCAACTTTGAAGATCACAGAGAGAGTTGTGCCAAGCGTGGGCACAGGCACTGGCAGCCTGGTGCTGGCTCTGCCATCTTGTGCTCCAGGTAACTCTTCCTGTAGAGGATCTTTTGTGTTCAAATGTGTCAAAACCCATGTGTATCAATAATCCGCAGTGTTCCCTGCACTTGTGAACGGGCTTGCAAGCTACTCCAGAGGCACAAGCCCTACCTGGCCTGTTTCTGTCTCCAGTTTGTTCCCATATTGGTAGAGCTCCATTTACTCACAAAGACCTCAGCCCCTCAGACTAAGAGTATGAAAGTGACTCCTGTAGTCGTTCAGGTCGTAGACTCTGGAGCACTCAGCCCCTCTGCGCCCACCGATGTAGTAAAGCTTGGTCCCCCCCCCCCCCAAGTCCTCTGTGGGCTGCTTGGTTGCTTTGCCTCCAGTAAACCCAAATTTTCTGTGCCACTCTCCCCACAGTCAAACTGCATGGTTGGCGGGGCCAAGGTGACCCATGGAGGTGACCTCCATGCTTGGAGGCTGCATGGACACTGGGGACACAGCAGAGTCCTGTTGTCACCTGTACGCAATGGCCTCATGAGCTGTTTGTGCAGGGCCCGGGTTCCTGATCTGGAATGGCACTGCCCTTGGCATTGCCCAGGCTGCAGGTGGTGCAGGTACAGGGCATCTGTTCCTTTTCCCAGGAGGTGAGATACTCCAGGCTGGGAGAGGGCCTGGACCCCAGTCATTGCCCAAAGTCCTTGGATAAGAGGGAGGTGGCTTTGGGACTTCCTGCTGAGTGTGATTCAGGGGACATATAAGGGGCCACAAATAGGCAAGCACCACCTTCCCTGACAGCAGCACCATGGCCTTCCTTTGGCTTCTGTCCTGCTTTGTCCTTGTGGCGGCTGCCCATGGTGAGTCTTGCGATCCGGGGACACCAGGCCTGGAGAATATGGGGAGGAGGCCTGAAGCCCTCATGACCCCCACCCCCAGGCCCACAGGATAGCCTCGGGCTCTCTCCCCAATAAGAAGTGACCTGCTTGAGTTCCCTTAGCACCTGTGGGGACCTGAAGGTGCAGGAAAGAGAGAGGGGTCCTTTGGGGGCTCTCAGCCCTCATTCCTAGCAGCAGGAGTGGAAGAGACACTTGCCTAGCTGGGATTGGTGACTCCTGATGGGCAGTGGGCAGAGCAGGAGGCGACCACAGCCCTCAGAAGGCAGCCAGACTGGGCTTTTATCTATTGTGCTGGGCACACACTGAGCTTCTGTGTATTAAATTAAGAAGAAAGGCCAGCCATGGCAGCATGCACAGAGAATCTGAGTGCTCTGAGAGGCCAAGGCAGGAGGACTATAAAGTAGTGTCCGGGTTGAGCCATGTAGTGCCTCAGGGAAACCCTGCCTTCTTGGAATTTAAAATATGAAAAAAGAGTGGGGCTATAGGGGCCAGGGAGATGGCTCAGTGGAATAAGTGCTTCCCTGGCAAGCGCAAGGGCCTGAGTTCAATCCCCGGTTCTGCCAAAAAAAAAAAAAAGAGTGGGGCTATAGCTCAGAATCAAGCTCTATGTTCCATCTCTAGCATCACTCACACACACACACACACACACACACACACACAGGAAAGGAAGAGTTAAAAATATAGAAAGCTAGATGACAACATGTATATACTGTCCGGATTTAGCAGGTCTTACCTTTTCTGCAGATTTCCTTC